CAGCCTGGGGGGGACACGCACCTGCCATTGAGGTCCATGGCAGAGGGCGTGGCAGCGGGAGGCGGGCGGGAAAGCCGTTCGTCCGGTGCGAAGGCCGCGGGCACCATGGCTGGCCCGGAGAGTTTGCTGCTGCCGGGGGCTGCGGGCAGATTCCCAAGGGCGCTCTTGTCCTGGGAAGGAAGGAAGGAAGGAGAGTGACTCTGCCTGTGCCCAGACTCCTGCAGACCACACCCTCGCCTGCGCCCTGCGCCCTCCCACGCCAGCTGTGGGGGATCCGGACTCTCCTCCTGACCCCAGCCTGGGCTCAACCTCCTCTGCAGCAGGCGACTGGGAGCTCTAACTACTGCACCTCGCTGCCCTTGTTCGGGACTAGCCCCAGCCCCATCCAAATCTCCCACGCGCTTTATCTGGTGACCGCCTGCAGCAGGAGCTCCCCGGGTCTGTGCCCCCAGGCCCCAGCCCTCTGTCCCATTCACAGAGGGGCCCTTGCGGGAGGGCGGGGCTTGTCTAAGCGCTGTTCGTCAAGGGCTGCGATGACCAATGTGCAGAGCCCTTGGGGGCCAGGCCGGCAGCCCTGGGGCCAGTACCATGCGGCCCATACGGCTAGGGAGGGGTTTGGCCCCAGCCCCACCTGTGCTGGCTGGTAGGGTGCCAGGCCCCGGAGCTGCTCGAAGGCCTGGCTGCTGGCTTCGGCGCTCCACGCTGCCTGGGAGGAGCTGGTGGCGGCGGCCGCGCTCTCCTTCTCCTGCCGCAGATTGTTCCTCTGGATTTGCTGGCGGATGAGGAGCTCGCGGAGTCTCTGGCGCTGGGAGAGGAGGGATGCACCATTACAGCAGGGCCCAGACTGCACCCTGGGAAATCACCGCCCTACCCCGAGCATCTGGGGCATGGAGCAGGGACAGGCCACCCATGGCAGCTTGGAGACTCTCTGCCCAAGTTGACTAGACGGACACAGGTGGGAGGGGAAACCGAGGCACAGGGAGGGCGAAAGCCTTGCCCAAGTCATCCAGCAGGTCAACGGCAGAGCCGGGAACAGAACCCAGGTATCCCAAGCCCCAGGCCATGCAAGTAAAGGAGACTAGAGGGCAAAGAGCCATTTCCCTGGCTCCAGCTCTCCTTCGTATCCTCTAGGACGTCAGGGTGTCCCTTGGCTCAGCCCCCACCCGCACGCCCGCGTCCTGTGCCTGGCTCTGGGAGGGCAGTGGGGTGCAGTGGTTAGAGCAGTCCCAGACAGCATCCCCAAGGGCTGTGGAGAAAGCGGAGTGCTCACCTGTCTCTGCTTCTCCAGCTCCGACTGGCTGATGCTGCTGACGGCGCCCTCCTGGCTGACTGGCAGTTCGGGCAGCTCCCGGCTGGGGAGAGCAGAGATCCCCGACACCACCTCGTCCCGCTTGTCAGCTGGCGGCGCCATCCCGGCTCGGGGCAGGTAGGTCAGGGAGCCGTCCTGCTGCTGCTGGGGGTGGGGGGGCTGCTGCGGCAGCACCGAGGGGGGCCGCAGGGGAGAGAGGGTGTAGGTCTCAGCAGGGCAGTTGCCAGGCCCCAGGGGGCTACCGGCCTGGTGGAAGCCGGGCGAGGAGGCATAGTTGGCGCTTTGGGGCTTGCCCATGGGCTGGCTAGAGGCAAAATGGCTGTTCATCCCATGGGGTTGGTGGGAGGGGGAACCCTTGAGGGGCTCTGAGACAGCTGAGGGGAAGGTGAACCGCATCTGGGCCTGGGCGCCAGCGAAGACGCTGGCTCCAGGGGAGCGGGCGAAGGGGGGCTGCTGGCTCCCCGGCCCCTTGGAGTGAGGGTCACTGGGCTGGGCCGGAGGGAAGCCACCACCAGCTGGGGGATTGTGGGAGATTGGGATCGATTTGAAGCCGGAGTCGGGCATTTGGGGCCGTGGGGGCTTGTGCAGGGGGGCAAAAGGGTCCCGGGACTGGGGGCGCGAGGGGGGTCTGGAGTAGGGGTCGGGTGACTGGAAGCGAGGGGTGACGGGTGACTGGCAGCAAGCCTCATTGGAGAGCGGCCGGGGGGTAAGAGGGGACTGGGAGCTAGACTGGGACTGCGGGCTGGCGGGGACGCGGGAGAAGGGGTCGGAAGGCAAGGACCTGGGGGGCAGGGCGCAGCAGCTGTCGGGGGGCTGTGGCCGGGGCGTCAGGGGAGGCTGGGCATAGGGGTCCGAGTAGCAGGACACGGAGGGCGACTGCCTGTAGAGGTCGGGGTGGCTGGGAGGTGAGGGGGCCAGAGCCTGGGGGTGGGGATGCGCCAGCCCTGGGCTCTGTGGCTCTACCTGAGAGACCCGTGGGGTCAGGGGGGCTTTGAACACGTCGGCTGCCTTCAGCTCGGCGGAGGAGAGGTGGGACGGGGAGTCGGCGTAGCCCATGGCGGCCATGTAGCCAGGAGAACACACTCCCGGGCCCCCTTCCTCCTTCTTCACCTGCAGCCCCCCAGCCTCCAGGCTCCTCTTCTGCTCCCCGAAGGGAGGGGGCGAGAGCAGGGGCTCGGGGGGCCTGGCCCCGGGGCTCCCTGGCACCGACAGGTTGTCCAGAGAGCCACTGAGGCAGCGTGGTTTCAGGAAGGGGTCTGGGGTGGAGGGCTGGTGCCGGGGCGTCCCGGGGGAGGTGGGGTGGAACTCCGGAGGCTGGGGGCCCAGGGCCGGCCGGGGAGTGGGCAGGAGCTGCTGCTGTTGTGTGGGGAAGGGCTGGAAGGCAGCTCCGGCTGTGGGGCTCTGACCCAGGGGCGAGGGGAAGCGGGGCTCCAGCGGGTAGCTGTAGGGGTCGTGCGAAGGCACTTGGGCTGGGGACTGGGAAGGAAGCTTGAGGAAGACCTCGCTGGACTCAGCCGCAGCTTCGGCGCCAGCAGGGGACTTCAGGAACCCGTCTGCGGAGCCGGGCAGGGCCACCGGGCTGTTGATGTAGACGGGCTGCCCCGCAGCACCCGGCAGCGCCCCCTGCTGGGGCGGGATCCTCAGGTGCAGTGAGGGTCTCTCAGGCTTGCGCAGCACCTCCCCTTTGGTCTGCTTGTTGATCTGACTCTCGGCCTGCTGCAGAGACAGCGCGGGATGGGGGTCAGCGCCAGGGGAGCCCAAGACGGCATCGGGTCACGCCCCCCCCCCCAAACACACCCCACCTTGGGCTGTGGAGGGGGGCTCGGGGCAGGGAAGGGAGGATCCGGCAGAGTCAGAGGAGGGGCCAGTTCCTCCCTGGCCCAGTCTGGGTCCCCAAGAGGCCCAGCCGCTCTGCCAGGCAGGCCTCGGGAAGGGGGCCCCACAAGGCTACTGCCCGTGTCCTGAGCACGCTCCCCCGGCACGTACCTTCTGCACCTTGTTGATGCGATGAGCCGCCCGGTTATCTTTGGCCTTTTGCTGCACAAAAAAACAAATCAATTTTCAGAGCGAGGCTGAGAGATCCCCCGCGAGCAGGTCGCGCTCGCCGGCCACAGCCCCCAGCGGGGAGCGGGTCCACCCAGGAGACTCACCAAGTAGGGGGCTTTGTCCGGGGCTGGGACCTTTCTCCAGAGCTTCATGATCTGTTTGCAGCGGCTGGACCAGTCTGGGAGGGGGACAGAGACTGATGTTACGATCGCCCCCAAATCACCAGCTGGCGTCTCTGGAGCATCTGGGGTTTACGTCCCAAGCCCCAGCCGGGTCAGGGCAGGTGGGGGCCATCCCCCCAGCCTGGGCTCCCCAAGATGCATGAGCAGGGGCTTCATGCAGCCAATGGAGCTCACGCCAGAGAGCTCTATGGGTAAAGAACTTCTGAGCCAACGCAGAAATTTCTTGCCAAGAGGACTATGGGTAAGGAACTTCTCCACCGATAGGAGAAAGTGCTCAGTGCCCTCATACCAGAGAGGACTATGGGTAAGAGCCAAGAGGTCAAGACAAGCTGGTAACGGAGCACCCCTCCCTCCCCCAGGGGGCATCCAGAGGGGCGAGAGCAGCTGCCTACCTGGGTAATCCTGCTTGAGGCTGGGGAAGTTCATGTTGGCATAGAGGACGGGCGAGATGGTGGACAGTTCGCCCAGCTCCTCGTCCTTCTCCCAGCGCTGTAGGCTCCGCTGGTTGTAGGAGAGCCCATCCCCCTCACCCTCCGTGGTTGGGGTGGTGGGCGTGGAGGGGGTGGTGGCAGCCGAGCTGCTGGCCCAGGGGCTCTCGGGCTCGCAGTGGTCTGGGCTGAAGAAGCCGCTTCTCTCCCTGCACCGGGGAAAAAGCACATGGCTTGAGTCACCAGGGCTGTGGGCAAAGCCCAGGGCACATGCCAGCTGGGACAGATTCCAGCCCCTGGATTGAAGTAGCAGCAGCCCCCAGCTCCTTAGGGACCCGCATTCACCCCATCTCCTGAAGGACCCCGTGCCCTGCCCCTCCCAAGAGCACCAGCACTGCCCGCCTGGCACGCACCAACATACCTGTTATCGAGGAACGGGGACTGGCAGACTCCTGAGTAGGACTCCATGGGGACAGTGGAGGAGAGCGAGCCCAGAGAAACACTCCCTGTGAGGGAAGGCAAACCGTGTAGCAGAAAGCTGGCAGTGTGAGTCAGAGCCGGCCCCCCCAATCCCCAACACCCCCTCCCACCTGCCCCCATGGGGCTCCTAGAGCCAAGCCAGGTGAATGCCTAGCTCCTAAAGAGTCCTAACACCACTCTCCTCCCCCCCCAGGAATCATCCCATTTATTGCACATGGGGAAACTAAGGCACGAGAGGGGTGACCTGCCCACAGATCACATGACACATCTATGCAGAAAAGAGAGCCCAGGAGTTGGGTCCCCCAATGCTGTCCTCCAGCCCCTAGATGGTGCTGCCTCTGCTCAAACCAGGCTCCACAGCAAAGGGCTGGAGATGGGATCATATGCCCAGGTTTGCTCTCCTGTGTCCTGCCAGGAGTAACAGACAGCGCCCCCTGCTGGCCCTCCCTTTCGCAACCAGCCCCAGAGGGCAGCCCTTTCACACCAGGAGCTTTTAGAGTGGGGTTGTAATTTATCAGCCACCCTCGCCACGCAGGGGATAGACAGGTCACCTTGCAGGAAGGGCCTCTGGGAGAGCTGCGCTCGGTTGGGGTCTCGCCCTCCCATGCCGGCCTCCATCCCTGCCGCCACGCAGTTCAGTTGCTGCTCCCGCTCGGCAGAGCCCAGCACATCCTTGAAGAGCTGCTGGATGTCTTTGCTCTCCATCTTGGGCAATTCTGGGGGCAGAGGAAGATCACCGTGAGCACAGGGCTGTGGAGCTGCACGGTCTTACGCCCCACGTGCGGATCCACCCCGTCCCATTCTCACCACCTGCCGGGGCGAAACCGAGGTACAAGACTTCCCCCACACTGCACGTCAGGAGTCCTGACTCTCGGTCCCCCTAGTCTAACTACTAGACCCCACCCCCTCCGAGAGCCCTTCTGAAGCAGATCAAAAAGCACCCGGTGCAGGCTGAGAAAACAGTCTCACCACCATCCCCTGCTTGGTCGGCAGCTGTTCTGTGCGACAAGCTCCGGGGACTGGTCTCCTCGGATCACCAGGGGCTTCGGCAGAGGGGAGCAAAGGGATCTGACTTGCCCTCCAATCCCTAGGGATCCCTCACAGGACTGAACCACTAGCCTGGGCAAGCCCCTTGCCTTGGGAATAGCCCATGTCACCCTCTGGGGGAGCTGGCACCAGGCTGGCAAGACCCGTTTTGGGCTCCAGTACATGTTTGCTGGGGCCCCACCCCCTCCCATTTCACCCCAGTGACAGACATTTGGGAGGCCCCCTCAGCTTGGGGCCCTGGTTCAACTGTCCCCTTTCCACCCTTCTCGCCAGCCCTGGCTGGCCCCCGCATAGAACCAAGGGAGGTGTGAGGAGTGTCGGGCGGCCTGACCTTCTGTGGGGATCTTGTCAAGGTCGGAGCTCAGGGCACCCTCGCCGGGCGTCGCCGGCTTCTCGCTGTCCCCAGGATCCGGAGAACCTTTCGGCTCCTCTGCCCCTGGGAAACAAACACACACGCCACCACATCACCTCAGCACCCGCGGCCAGGGGTGTGCCGCTGGATATCTTCCTGCCCCACACCACACACAGCCCCCCATACGATGGGGGCAGACATGCCATGGGGATGCCAGGGCCGTGACCCCCACCCCGTCAGGGGCGGGCGTGCCAGGGCCGTGACCCCCACCCCGTCAAGGGCGGGCGTGCCAGGGCTGTGGATGACCCCCCTCCCCCCGCCCCAGTAACTGGGAGCCCCCGTCTTCAGCACCCTCCCCCCCGAAATGAATAAGAACTGAGGGTGATGTTCTAGGCTACATCTCTATGGCTCCGAAGGTGGGGGAATCACTCTAGGACTCCAAACCATAGAGACTCCAGAGTCCTCCAGGACTGACCATAGACGCACCTTGCCTAGATAATAGCCCACAGCCATCGAGATGTAGCTAGAGTGGCACAGCTCTATGGCCACGGGCTGGTTGGAGACTACGCTCTAGGCAGGATCTCTATGGTCAGGGGAGTTGGTCAACAAGATGGGGAGCTCCAGGCTGGTTGAGGTTATACAAATAAGGTCATGCATATTCAGATATTCAAATAAGAGGGTCACTCTATTTGCATAACCCTTTCAACTCTCTGTACCAGCCTGCCATAGTGCTGAGTCCCATCCCCACAGGGAACACCCCCCAGCCACGGCCCGGACACCAGCCCCCCCCCACAGCCCCTGCTCCCCACCCGCGGGCCAGCCCGGTGGGAGGTGCTCACCTGGGTCCTCAGCCTTCACTTCCGCCCCTTTCGGGTCCTCCTCTTGGGCCACCAGGGCGCTGCTGTCCATGCTGTCGTCCCCTGGGGGGGGGGGTCGACAGGAGGGGGACGCTGAGCCAGCACACGGCTCCTCCCTCCGTGACGCCAGCCCCTTGGCTCCTGGCACTACCCACCCCAAGGGATGGCGCTTCCTACACAACCCAGGTGACCATGCCCAGCCCCTCAGATCCCTCACCACCAAGCCAAGTCCCACCAGCCAGCCCTGCCCCCTGCCAGCCTCCACCCAGAAGCCAAGGACATCTCTGCAGCCCCCTTACCTTTCAGATGGGCAGGGGTCTCCTTCCCATCTCCAGGCACCCTCTGGAGTGTTCCGGGCACCCCAGGGTCCACCCTGGGTCTGGGAGCACCCTGGCCAAAGGGGGGGCAGGCAGCTCCATCCCCCACACCCCCTGCGGCCAGCAGGGCCTTACGGCTCAGGTCCATGAGCGCCTTCCCGAAGAACGCTTCCTGCCGAAGGAGTGGGGAAGGGGATGGGAGGGAGCCAGGGGACATGTACCAGAGTTAACAGAGGAGCCAGACCCCTTCCCCATTCTCCCCTCCCCCTCCGCCCCCAGCAGCGGGAGCTGGCACACCCCTGTCCTGCTGCAGCCGGGCTTACCTGGAGGTAGGCAGGGAACATATCCTCCAACTTGCTCTTCTTCCTGCCTCGGCGTTTCTTCTTCTCGTCCCCCTCCGTGGCGCCCTGCTCCGCAGCGCCCTCCGCTGGGATCTCCGCCGGCGCCCCTGTGAACAGCAGCTGCTGTTACTTCCGCCCTCCTCAGGAGCCCGGAGACATGGGGCCCTCCTGGAACAAGCCAAGCCTTGGGCGGGGGCTTCCCCATCGCCTCCCCGCCCCCCTCCAGGAGATCCCCAGAACTAAAGCGGGGGGGAGGGAGGGGGTGTTCTGTCCCAGCTATACCCCGTGACACCGAGGTTAATGCCAGAGGGCCAGGCGCTGCTTGGGCGCACGTGACTCCTACCGTCCTCCGGGTGCCCCTCGGCGCTCAGCACCTCGCGACATGCCTCCACCAGTGCTGCCGAGCCCTTCTTCAGCCGCGTATGGGACTTCCGCTGCCGCACCATGAACCCACCGATCCCTGGGAGGGGGAGAAAAGAGGAGCGGTGGGCGGTTACAGGGGAAGGCCTCAGCCCTGCTTGTCCGGGGTGGTTTCACTCCACAGAGGCCAGGGCACCCTCCGGCTCCCGCTCTGATGGGCTAGGTCCGGCGGGACGGCTCCGTCAGCCACCACTGACGAGGCTCAGAAGAGCCCAGCCGATTAGCCATCCCCAGCCATGGATCAGCGCAGGAGCACTCACCTGGGCGGTAGGGCTTCCGCTTCCTCTTCTTGCACTCCTCCGAATCCTCCAGCCCCTTCCCCGAGTCCACGTCGGCCCCTCCGTCCCGGTCGGGGCTGGCCGCAGCTTCCAGCTTGATCTCACACTCCATGTGCTCCACGCCCACTGTGCACGGGAGGGGAGGGGACGAGACGTTAGAGCAGGACTCCCCCCATGCCCCCCAGCCCCACTACGGCGGAGGGAAAGTCAACGGATGATCCAGACTCCCTGAACCTCCCACCCATTGCTAGCCAAGCTGCGCCCCTTCTCCCCATGACACTGCCCCTGGAGGAGCCGGTTCAGCCCATCAGTGAGAGAGGGGGCCGCCTGGGTACTCCTCTCTCTGGTGCATCCTTCCCCCCCACCAGCCGTGGGCCCCTGAAAGCCAGCAGCCACCCAGCTGGGCCCAGCAACACCTTCCCCCCACCCCACCCCACGCAGTTCTTCCCTCCCTCTCACACCTGCACCACCCCCCCCAGCACACATGCCCCCCAGCGCTAGAGGCTCCCAGCTCCTCTGGACACAGCGTAGGGCCCACCCATCACAGTGCCAACGCCCTCAGCCACCGAGCAGAGACCTGCCGTCCCAGGCACTGCAAGAGCTCTCGGTTCGGTGGGTTCCTGGGTGCTGACCAGGCCTGGCAACGAACCCAGGCATCCTGGCCCCTCTCCGAGCACAGTCAGGGAGCAGGCACCAGCACACCCGCGTACCGCGCCAGCCGGCGGTGGGGAGCGGGGGCCACGTGAGGGGAGCGCACCTTCACCCTTCAGCAGGTCGTCCCCATCCAGATCCCCGTCCTTCTTCTCGTCCGTGCCCAGGGGGTCACCCCCCTCCAGGCCCCCCTCCCCATTCAGGGTGCCGAGACGGGTCTTGCGCTGCCTGCGCTTGTGCAGGGGGGACATGGACAGGTTGCGCAGCACGGCCATGCCCGTCTCCGTCAGCCACACGCCTTCGAAGCGGAAATACTGGGGCTCTGCGGGGGGAAGGAGGCAGGGCCAGAGTTAGGAGCGCACACTCTCCAGGCTGGCCTAGTCGCCGGGGTGCTGGACCAGGAGTCAGGATGCCTGGGTTCTATTCCCGGCTCTGCACTGACCCACTGGGAGACCTCAGGCCAGTCCCTGTGCCTCTCTGTGCCCTTCGTCTCGCCCGTTCAGACTGTGAGCTCTTCAAGGCAAGAGACTCCTTGTCCCCCTGCTCCATCTACTGGATTCCACAACACTCCCACGAGCCGGGAACGGAACCCAGGGGTCCTGGCTCCCAGCCCTAACCGCTAGACCCCACTCTTCTCCCTGAGCCGGGAACGGAACCCAGGAGTCCTGGCTCCCAGCCCTAACCGCTAGACCCCACTCTTCTCCCTGAGCCGGGAACGGAACCCAGGAGTCCTGGCTCCCAGCCCTAACTGCTAGACCCCACTCTTCTCCCTGAGCCGGGAATGGAACCCAGGAGTCCTGGCCTCTGCAGCACATCCCTCCCTGGGAAGAAGGTAACACAGCCCTGGCAGGGCTCAGCCCTTCCATGGCAGCTTCTGCCTTCCAGCTGGGAGAGGGACAGACCCTCCTGTGCCCCCCAGGCTGAGGCCCCGGTTCAGCCAGGGGCCCTTCAAGGGGACAGGGCACGGGGCACGTGCTGGAACCCCCCAGTGGGGCAGTGAGTGCAGCTCGATCACACAGGCTGGAGAGCGGGTCCCCTTCCCCACATGCTTACCCGGCTCCTTGATCTTCACTGGGATAATCTCTGGGGGGGCGACTGGAACTGGGGAGGAAAACACACAGCGGTGAGTCCCCATGGCTCCCTGGCCCACT